AAATGTAAAATAGTCAATCACTTAGCAAAAAATTTAGCTACATCAACATTTAACTAACGGAAAGACGAAATTGAAAATTGAAGTTGAAAGACGTTTTTGGTACTTTCTGAAGTTTAAGGATGGATTGGTTCAAAAATAAAAGTCAAGGGACCAACTCAAATATTTAACCTAAAAAAATATGTTAGTTACGTCAACATAATTATTCAATTAATTCTTAAATAGAAAAAGTTGAAAGTTAGCATCCTTAAATAGAAAATATTGAAAGTTGACATCCTTATTTAGAAATTGACAAAGTTAACATCCTTATTTTGAAAAAAATTGAAAGTTGACATCCTTATTTAAAAAAAATTAAAAATTGACATCCTTATTTAGAAACTGACAAAATTAATATCCTTAAATAAAAAAAGTGCAAAGTTTGAATCCTTATTTGCACATTTACTCTAACTTTACATAATATTACTTTTTCATGAACCAAATATGTTCCTTAAAAATAGAAAGTGACAAATAGAGCGTCCAATCAAAATATAGGGCCTTGTTTTACAAATAATACTAAAAAGTCATGGTTCTCTTACCATCTGAGCGTCGAGTGGCTGTACAGCACCTAGTAAACCATTGAAAGTATGGGGGATAAAGCTGTTATAATCGCCGGTGCTTCTTCTGGCATCGGAGGGCTAATTAATTGACCCCAATTCTCTTGTTCTTCTCCTTATAATCTCTACTTTTTGTCTGAATTCTAATTTCTTTAAAGACGAAATGGTTGTTTGAGATTGCAGCAAATTGGATATGAATATGAAAAATGGGGAGAAAATCTTCTTCTGGTTGCTAGAAGAGAGGATAGACTCCGGAGAATTAAAGAGAGAGCAAGATATTTGGGTGCAAAACATGTCCTGATAGCAGCGGGAGATGTTGTCAAGGAAGAAGACGGCAGGAGATTTGCTAATGAAGCAATAACTTTACTACGGTCGTGGTAAGCTCCACCAATATCATGTTTAATGGTAATTTCTAATAATATTTATAAATCAAGAACCAATACATATATGTGGTCCACTGGTTAAGGACAAGCTTGAATTATTTCCCTGTTGCTGTTTCTTGTTTTGGTTCTCTAATTTCATATATCCAATGTCACAGTGGATCATCTAGTTAACACAGCAAGTTTGGGACATACATATTCTACTTTGAGGAAGCCTCGGATAACTCTGTGTTTCCCCGTTTGATGGTAAGGCTAGTTGGTTGCATGATCAGTAGAACTCCCAGAATATGGTTTGAAATTTTTTTGAATGTAGTGGTTAATGGTTATGTTAGATCTGTTATGAAACACTGATGGATGAATCCCTTATAGTTCTCAGGAGTCAGGACGTTAGCTTTTGGGGAAATGTTTATCCAACATTGGTTGCTCTGCCTTACTTGGATCAGACCAATGGTCGAGTCATTGTGAATACATCAGTGGGGAATTGGTTACCTTTTGCGCCAGGAATGAGTCTGTATTCGTTGAGTATATATATAAATCAAGTATGACATATTTGTTTATATTGCCTACATGTTGGTTTTGTTTTCTGTAGCATTTTTAAGTAATTATCTGTCTTTTCTAGTCATTAGAAGTAGAAAGGAATATAGACTGAATTTGACATACAATAAGAAACATGTCTTGTTAAAATCTTCCAAAAATGTTACATATATAGTACCGTAGTACTTACCTTTGTGTCCTCACCTCTCCCAAAATCTTCTTTCTCTAACATTTTTAGGCTGCAAAATGCAAAAGCTGCTCTTGTAAACTTCTATGGACTAACAATTGCAACGCACGGTTGGACTGGTAGCAAAATGAGTAGAGGCAAGTTCATGCTAGAGGAGGGTGCAGAAATGCAGTGGAAAGAAGAAAGAGATAGAAGTAAGCTATCAAATACATCCACAGTCATTAGCAACAGTTTCTTCTTAAATTAAGACATAATTCATTCTGTTCATCCAATGTGCATTCCAAGGCCTCTCTTTCCTTGCTTGTAAAGTTAGTGCTGTGGGATTTTCATTTCTAATTATACCAGAATTTATTTGTTTTAGGTGGAAGCAACAGCTGGTGGACCTGTGGTGGAGGAGTTTGCCAAGTTGACCGTGGCAGGGGCTTGCCGAGAAGATGCCTATGTGAAGTGTCCAAGTTGCTATGACATATTCCTGGTGCATAGGGTGTTTGCACCCTATGTCCTCAGTTGGACATTCCGCCTTCTTCTTTTGACTCAGGGTGCAAGAAGAACATCCTTAATGTGTATAGGGAGGCAGATATTGCAAGGCAGCAGCAGATATGCCCTCGAGGTGACGTCTCCTAGGAAAGCTCCTTTTCTATCCTGAAGCTGGAAGCTTCCAGGTCAACCCTCTACAGCAGCAGAAAATAGAATGGCTGCTAAGCAGGGGCGGAGCCATGTGTAGACCAGGGGGGGCGGTGGCCCCCCCTAGGATTTGAAAAAAAAATAATATATATAATTAATTTATTAATTATTATTATTAAAATTTTAAATATTATATTTATAATGGTTAAAATATATTAAAAAAAATCCAATAATAATGGGTTGTTTTAGGGGTCCAAATATAATCTATACAATTTAATTATTTATTATTATTTAAAACCCACAAATCTCAATGCTCATAACTGAATTATGTAAAAAAAGAAAAAACAAAAAGAAAAAATATAAGTTCTCTAGTTTTCTATGCTATTTCTCTAATATCCAATCATATTGTTCCAGTGCCAATCAACTTCAACCAATCAACTTCAAAAATAAAAAAATAAATAAAAAGACTTTACCAACCACTTGACGTAAGTAATTGCAACACTGTTCTCATCATTGAAAACTTAAAGACAAAGGGATCATCAAAAGGACCATTAACTTCTTGATAAAAACTAAAAATAACATTATCTTTTTGGTTAAACTCTCATTTTGTCCCTCAACTATTGTACGGATCCCTTATTTAGTCCCTTAACTCAAAAAACCCTAACTTAGTCCTTACTATTTACCATTTTAACCCCAATTTGGTTCCTTCGTTAAAATTCCGCCTACGTCTCCCGTTACTTGATAGAGAGAAACATGACACGTAAAAATTTTTTGACACATAGGATCTACAGTGTGGCAAAAATAATTAAAAAATTATGTTTTCTTTTTTTTCTTTCTTCCTTTGTTTTTCCTTTTTCCCTTTCTTTTTCCTCTTCCTTTCCTTTTGCCTTTTGCTAACCCTAAAACCTTCTAAACCCAACATTCTTGGGTTCGATTGAACCCAGCACACACTGGATTCGATACACTTGGGTTCGGAAAGAACCTAGATCTGGGTTGCACTTTCCATTTTAAATTCAAATTAAAGTTAAAAAAATCAAAGAAATACCCAAATTTATTTGATTCCAAAATTTAATGCTTTCCAATTCTGCAAAATCAAATAAGTACCCAAAATACCTAGATTTGCAATTCCAATTCTTATCATTCAAATTTTAATGCTTTCATACCCAAAATTGCAGCAATCAAGATTTGAAAAATAAAACCTAAATACAAATGTGGGTGTAAAAGGAACTTAGATCTGGATTGCCTCTTAGATCTGGATTTCCTCGCACCCAAAATCAACCTTCTCCTTTACACGATATTCACATAACAAAGGGAACCCAGCAAGTAGTTTAAACCCCCATTAAATGGCCTCTTAGCCTTCTAAAAAACCCAGAAAAATCAAGGTATCTTCAATCAAACCCAACAACAGTTCTTCAATCAAATCTAGCATTCTTCAATCAAATCTAGCATTCTTCAATCAAACCCATCAGGGGTTCTTCAATTGAACTTAACAGTACTTGTTGGGTTCGATTGATGAACCTAGCAAGCGCTCTTGGGTTCGATCGATGAACCCAGCATGAACCCAACGGCACCTGCTTGGTTCATTGATCAAACCTAGGAGTTCGATGAACCTAGCGGTGCCGTAGGGTTTATCGATCAGACCCAGGAGCGCTTGCTGGGTTCATCGATCGAACCCAATGACGTTGCTGGGTTCTTGCTAGGTTCAATCAATGAACCCAACAAGCGCTCTTGGGTTTGATGAACCCAACAGTGCCGTTGGGTTCATTGATCGAACCCAGGAACACCTGCTGGGTTCATCGATCGAACCCAATAAGCATCGTATCGCTAGGTTCCTTCTGGGTTCATCGATCGAACCTAGTAAGCATCAATCAAACCCAAAGCCCCTAAGGCCAACGAACAAGGCTCTAGGGGGAAGAAAATGAATGCTAGAGATGAAAATGAAGGGGTAACGAAAAGAAAATGGAAAGAAAGTGATGTGTGATTGAAGATGAGGGTAAAAAAGTAATTTTAGTTTTATAATTAATTTTAGATATTTTAATTTTTATTAAAAATTACGTGTAAATTTTATATGCCATGCTGTCAAACCTACATGTTAAATTATTTTACATGTCATCATTTTTTAGGACACAGGCGGAATTTTAACGGAGGGACCAAATTGGGGTCAAAATAGTAAACAGTAAGGACTCAGTTAGGGATTTTTTGAGTTGAGAGACTAAATAGGAGGTTCGTACAATAGTTAAGGGACCAAAATTGGGGTTTAACCTATCTTTTTTTATATGAATCATATATTGCCATATTAGATTTTAACTTTCAAGTTTTGTAAATTTTTTTTATTTTATTTTAAAATTTTATCTTATACTTGTTAGTAGGTATGTTCTAACAAAAAAATTAGTATACTGTCTCTATCTCAAACTAATTAGTATACTGTCTCTATTTCAAACTAATTAATATTTTTTATTTACAATTTATCCTAGAATAATAGTCATTTTTTAATTTTAAGGAAGATAAATAATTTTTTTCGCTTTAACCCTATAATTATCACTTAACTTTAATTATTTATCTTTTGACTGAAATAGATATTTATTCTTAGTTATTTTTTAAGTATAAAATAAGTAAAGATAGAAATTGTTTTCAAATCCTTCATTTGAAGATAAAGCAAAAAATCTATTATTCTAGTATGGATGGAGTAATATTTAAGTAATGAAACTTATCGATTTTTTATTATCACAAAAAATATATATAATTTCTTTTTAAGATTTAGAGTTGTTGAGATTACAAATAAAATTGAATATTATGATTATATTAAAGTTATATGGAATATAATTGGATCAGAGTAAAAAAAAAAAAAATTTAAAAGGAAAAGAAAGTGTAGATCTATAAAGGGAACACATATGGATCTATAAAGGGAGCATATATGGACCCAATAAAAGGAAAAATCTTGGATATAGGCATATAAAGAAAAGCAATAGGAAGATAAATTAGTATAAAAGGAAAAAAAACTAGTATAAAGTGGAATTAGCTTGTAAAAAGGAAAAAAAAAATAGTTTGATTGTAGAAAGTAATAGGGTAAAGAGATAAGATATTACCGTATTTTATATTTGCCAAACTCACCCATGGAGGTAAAGGATCTCTTCACCCTACGAACAACAACAAAAAAAGCATTTTTTGTTATGAAAATTATAAAAATGAGACTTCACAACAAAATGAAAAATGAATTCCTTTAAAATTTTGTGATTGTTTATATTGAAAAAATAATAATTTAGTTATTTAATGTAAACTCTATTATAAATAAATTTCGTGATATATAAAGACTCATCAAATATATTTTAATTTATGATATAAAAATAAATTTTCAAAATTACAATACACTATTTTAAAACATAAAAAATCAACCTCTAACTAAAATTCCTAGCTCCGCTACTGCTGCTAATCCAGTCAGGCCTCCCTTAGGTATCCTGTTTTGTACCATTAATGTGCTTGTCCCTTTGAATTTTCCAACCTTCTTGATGCTGAGACTAAAGGGGTCACCTTCCCTTTCCGTCTCTTAGGATTTTACCAAGTTCCATGATTTCAAATTTTGAGGTTGGACTTTCGGTGAAGAATTCGTTCTTCCTGTGGAAAATTACAGCAAAGAAAAAGAAAAAGTGTAGGAGCCATAAATTTTTTTTGACTACACACTTTGGCACCTAGAATGGCCTTTACCTTTTGAGGAATGCTAGCTGCACTCGCCTTTCTCCAGCACTCTCCGACACTCTCTCATGTAAAATGTCCACGTAACAAACTTTGGCTCGCAATTCAAAGTTTCCCACTAGAAAAGTTCACGTGGCTATTTTAGATGAAGGAGTGTTGGAGAGTGCTGGAGAAAGGCGAGTGCAGCTAGCATTCCTCTTACCTTTTTTCGTAGTTGAAGACTTCTAAATTTTCTGCTCGATTTAGTTGATCTGGGAATAGGAGAAAAGAAAACTGCAAAGAAGGAACACAGAAAAAATTAACAGATTTTTATTATTTTTAACTTTTAAGTGCAACCTTCTGTGCGCCCTCTTCTCTCCTCTCTTATAGTTGTCCCCTTCTTTAATCTCTCATCTCCCTCCCAATGGTTAGGGGAGGATGAAAAAAAAGTAAAAGAATCTCCTTTTCTTTGAAGTTTTTTCTTTTCTCTTTAAGGTCTCTCTGTAAGTTTTTATACGAAAATATAAGAATAATTATTTTTTCCTCTAAAATAAAAAGTTAACATATCAAGAGAGATTTTTAAATTTTGAAGATGGTTAAAATAGTTGTTTATCTTTTCTATAGGTTTGGTTTGTGCCCTCACAATTATTATTTTTGTGATTTATTAGTTTTAAGTGACTTCTATTTTTAATCATTTAAATCTATTGTCTATTACTATATTTTAGTAAGTACAATTTGAAAGCTCTTTATAAGTCTGTTTAGGGATTATAGTCTACTCTGTAATCTCTAATTTCATTCTCTAATTTCATTTGTTTATATGATGCTTATCATAGATTTATTTTAATATACTATAGTCGTTTATATATCAATGGATCTACATAATTATTTTATATATAAAAAAAAAAACTTAATAGTGCAACACTTCAAACATTCACTGAAGATTGGACACAGCGTTTTAGCACCTTCTAAGGTTGGATTTCATGTTCAAATCTTACACTAAGCAGAAAATATTCTTAATAATTAACCCCCATTTTACAACCATTAAATTCATAGTTCCATAAATTTACATCACTGGAAAAGGATGTAAATTGTGGAGTACTGCCATAAAATACAAGCATTGTTAGTCATATTGATCAGTATATATGAACTAGAGATAATCTTCAACAGAAATGCTCAACGCCTCCCCTTCTCTCCTTTCACTCCCCTCCCATGACCAAAAACAATCATCCTCCAGCCCCAAACACTGATAAACTATCCCAGAATTCACGTCGCTTTCCACTGGCTGTTTCTCCATCATCCTGGCAGAGGCGTCTATAGCCATGCCAGCATCCGATGCTGCTTTCTGTATCGACCTGGGCGAGCTGCTTGAATATATACTTTGAGGCAACAGCAACGGGAAGTTAATAGCGTCAAAGGAGGAAGGCCTATGCAGGGAATAGAAAGCAACATCGTGAGCAACAGCAGCTCCCTCCGGAGTTGAATAAGAGCCTAACCAAAGCCGGTGTTTGGTGCCGGGAATTCGAATCTCCGACACCCATTTGCCCCATTTTCTTCTCCGCACGCCCTTGAACTTGTTCTGTCGACCTTGAAAAACTCTGTGCAGAACTCCTTCCCCTGCATTATCCATCTTTTTAGTGATTATGTGTTCAGCGATGAGATGGAAACCAAATGGTTTTGCTTATTTATAAGGCTGAAGAAATATAAAGTCCAACTGTTAGAATTGAAAAGGTAAATCTACCTTTTTTTCTCCTATTTCGGGGAGGTCAGAAGGTTTCACATTGAGAAGTATAGGAGGGAGTCAACAGACTTTTGTAGGTCAAAGTAAAAGGCCAGGAAGGCATTAATGGCAGCTGTTGTTGAATGACATTTTTTTCTGCTAGAATTACTGTTGCGAAGAAGTGGTTTTTTTTTTTTTAGGCCCACCAGGATGTCGGGAGGACGAGTGGCTGAGGTTTCATGAAGATCAATTTTAGTCCTGAATTTTTAATTTTAAATATTTTAAATTC